TCGAAAGCCACGTCAGCCAAGAGTTGGTCCCAAATTGAGTGGTAAATAAATTATATTCAATTCAATCGATGGATCTAATGGTCAATTGAATGGTATATTATTAGCTATTAATTTACTAAACAATTAATTAATCGCTAAATAATGAAAACAATTAAAGTATTGTTAAAGAAATGCCAATGTTTTCAATACGAGTACACGTTTGTAGCGATAGGGATGTGAGCCGTGCTTTCCCTTCACATTCACTTGCATTACGCTTACAATCGATAACTAAATTAAAAAACTTTATTAATTTCTCAAAACTTGTTATTAATATTTAAACTTTTGAATAATTATTACAAACGAGAATAATAAGGAAATTAACAAACATTTGTACTATCAATACACAGTTCCTATACATCATATCTATTGATTATTCTTTAACTTTTTTGAAAAATATTGCAAATTATTGTGTAATGAAATTGAAATAAAATAATTAATTTTAATGGAAATGTAAAGTTTTTATGATTATTATATACAATAGTCTGTGATTATACGGGTATTTGATTGGATTACGTTATATAACAATATTATTTAAATAAATCTAATTAAATTAATTATAAAGTTATGATAAGCCTGGTGATTATTTAAGCTAGGTGCTTTATACTCATAGTACCAATACTTTGTTAGTACCAAGTACCAATAAAATGTTGTTAATACAAGTAAAACGGGAGCAATAATTGATAATGGTAAAGTTAAGTAAATTTAATGCTACTCGACGTGTATATTATAACGGGCTTACACTGTATTCGGTGTGTGAATAATGTTAATACTGTTGTAAATGCATAGGGAATAGTGCCGGACCTGTGAAGAGCTCTAGTATATAATAATTGATAGACTGATGAACGCCATGATTGCAATGAATGCAAATTTATATAAATCTATAGACAGAGTATAGGGTTGTATAGTGTGTATAGAATAGTGTGTATAGTGTATAGAGTGTGCAGAGAGTGTGAGTGAGTGTACGGCCTGTATATCCCATATATACTGATAGACTGTATATAGCATTGAGTGAGTGTTGAGTGCAGTCTTTGTGAGCTCTGAGAAAGCGGTCAATAATTGGTATAATATTGCAGTGGTTTTGGTGTACAGTCTATACACGAGTTGGCGTTCACTGTGTTATCGGCGCCAACACTCGCACCACAAACTGATCGCCACAACAACTCACTGACCACTGCTTGACGAGTGACCACATCTACAGTCACAACACCGCCGACAACCACAACAACCACAACACCTCCTGTCCTCCCAATCGCTCTCTCCCTCCACTCTCCCCATCACTCTCTCGCACATTGAAAACAGGCGCTAATCGTCGCTAAATTGCTATCAATTATGAGTGGATTTGTTGTTATAAACATTTAACAACTTTAATGTCACCGCTTTTGACCACTCATTTGCCGTCAATTCATATGATTGTCAAGTATTATGTGATTGTTGTCACCGTTTGTGCGAAACTATCGACACATTTATTGTAAACACTGTATTAATTGTGTGAAGTAATCGCCGATCCATTAGTTTTATATTTAATACAATTAGTATTAAGTGTTGTTTTGTTTATCAATTGTTCACTCGCTGTCCAACAGTTCCCAAACTCGATGTAAGTCTTGCCATCGCTTTACGAGTGTTTGTCCTAAATATTAGCATTTATTTCATTTTTAATTATTTATATTTTAAATGATTATAATATGATTAGTAATAAAATTGTTTGATTTATTTTTATAGTGGATATGATGTGAAGACATCACTAGAAGAGATCCAATCGCAACAGTTTTGAATATATAGCGACCAAAAGTTGCAAAGAGTTGATAAATGTTGACATATTATACCGTTTGTGTTGCACTCGATATAAACATTGGTTCACATCATCCGAGTTGATGATGGACTCAAAGAGCGAGCAATTCGTTAGTGATTTGATCCAATTCTACCGCAATAGAGGACATCACAAGTAAGCGTACAATTTGTGTTTGCATTTGATTTGTTGATAATCACGTGTTTGAATGTATGGCCAAAAACAGTCCACAACCGCAACAATTTGTCGCCCGAATCAATGGAAAAGTGGTTAATTTGAATCAATTATACTCTTATGTGATCGAAAGCGGCGGAAGTTATAAAGTAAACCAATTAAACCTTTGGGACGATATTTACTGCAAATTATTTAAGTCAGTATTTCTTGTTTTATTATTGCCTGTCATTTGAGTTAACGTTATATTAAATGTGTATTGTTTTGTCTCAAAGGGCAACGAGTAGTGGTGCAAACATTTCGGTGGCTTTACGTCAAGTTTATTCCCGATATTTGTTACCCTATGAGAAGACATTCAGCACTAACTTCGGGAATGACCTCTTGGACGACGACGAGGAAGAAAGGTTTGAATTGATGACACTTTTTATGTTTACATTCAAATGTATTAATGGTTTACATTTGCATTGATTTGACAGCAATTTTTCGTTCAATTCAAGTCATAACTACAGTCACAGCCATTCATTTAATTCGTCGGTCACCACATCGTTGCCAATCGCCTCGTATTCCCATCAATACCAGTGCCCGCAGAGTGTGTCCACAGCTATCGCCAGTGAAACCCGAAATCCATTGAATAAGTTGTTTTGTTCGCTATTAAGTGGTTTACCAAATGAATTGGATTTCGCGTTAAAAGTGTCGACAATACTCATTAACTCGAACCGATTTGAGTGGACTAATGATTACAAATATATTAATTTGCTTTTAGAGTGCTTTAAAAACTACTGTTGTGTTTGTGAACAAAATGACTCGTTATGTCCCGAAACGGACGCCGAAGAGATCGCCGATGACTTTGATTTATGGACACAACAAAACAGTTGCAATTGTTATCAAAAGTTTTGGTTTATGTGCTGTTCTGATGAACAAACTCTTGAGTTAGTGTTCGGTCCGCCGGAGCCCACTATAGAGGAGTTGTCTCAACAGGACTTTAATAAAATTAAGGATAAGATTCGACTCATTGCAGACATTATCAGAAACTTGTCGTTTACTTATGATTGTGACAATCAGGACAGCATTCAGTCACCGAGTCCTGTGGCCACTCCTCGTCTCATGAAGTTTTTACTTCTTCTATCCATGTCTTCGGATATACAGTTCAATAGCATAGCGTTGGACGTCATGTCTAACATCGCGTCGACCACTTGTGTCATTCATGACGATAACGTCTATACAGTTATCCAACAAATACTTCATCGGCGGTGCGTTGAGATAGCGATGACCAGCAATAATATCCATTGGACGAGTCGGTGCCTCGAAAGCGTGTCACGACTCTTCTCAGCCAATGTCGAAGAGATTAACTCATTCTTGGAATCAATTCTTCTCGACTACGAGGTAAGAGCTCTCTCTCTCTCTCTCTCTCTCTCTCTCTATAAAAATTATTTAAGAAATGCACTGAAATAAATGCAATATTTGATAAGAATAATGAGCACAAAAAAATAGTTACGAGACAATAAAAATGATAATTTCAATGCGAGAGTAAAGTATGCGTTGACTGACGTGTTGTGCGTCGAGTGGGAAGTATTGGCGCTCTAAATGTGTTTTGAAAATAATCTAAAGTGTGAACCGAAACCCAAAGTGTGTTATTGAGGGCAGAGAACGCGAACTGTGGAGCGACTCCTCACACACACTGGCTTTCAATGCCAATGAGTGTCGGATCAGCACTAACTCTACACTACGCTCGCAGTTATACTACTCTAGACATCGCTTGCAATTTATTCATTCATAAGATAAAGCACTCACTCTATTCACATCATCAGTGAATTCAATCAATAGTTTGAGATTCACACGAGTCTACACTTACTCTCTACACACTAGTGGCCACCGATCGTACGCTAAACCGCAATCATTTATTCCACATATTGTATAGTTTTTCTGCTTTTTATGCATTCCTTGTCGGACGACAAGAATTTGTCGAGTATTACTGTTATATGATTTGTATGCTTACAAAGTGGACAGTTATACGACTGTAGACATTATAGGTTACGCTCGAGTTGTCTAATCAATCACACGAACACATTCTGCGCTGTGTTTTGTATGAATGTATTGCTAGAGAAATGAAGATATATTGTACTGCACTATAAAGTAGTTTAAATGAGATTATTTTCAACGCTTATCGATTTGCAATTATATTTACAAACAAACTTTAAAAGGTCTTCACTATAAAAATAACGTTTATATTTTCAATGACTTTCTTATGTAATAATTTTTAATTTATAAATAGAAATTTGTGTGAAAATATTGAGAGATATGTGAATAGATTTTCTTTAATCTTATGCATTAGGTTTTGTAAGTCTAATATTAAATGATAGTTGTGTTAAAAGTTAGCATTTTAAGCGTATATTGATTTAATGTTAATTTATGCATAATGAATAATTGTTCACCTTGTATCTGTCCAATATGACCATCATTTAAAGATTGCATTGATTTATTGTGTATATTTCTTACTTTAGAAATTAAAATGTTATTAAATAGACGTGATATTAATGTTTACTTTGAAATGTTTTTGCATTCAGGTATTCACAAGAATAACAGAACTGATGACCTGTCAGTACGACATCTCATTATTGTTAGCGATATTGGAGTTTTGTTTAGCACTTTCTCAGCAAAAGCCTTATATGTTGCTTAAAGACGATAATAAGCATCTCATCAGTAAGTTTCTCATTGTTTTCTCGTTTACAGTAAAAACAATATTCTAATAAATATTGGTTTCATTTAAATCAGAAATACTGCTAACACTTCTCAACTGCGAGTCCTCTCAACACTTCACGACAACAGCACTTAAACGCATGAAAGTAATCGACGACAGACCGAGAGTTCAAAACAATCAAATGTCTGAAAACAATTCGGTAACAGTTGGCGCACAAAGTGTTGGCAGTTCTGCGAACACCAACTCTCAAAACACGAGTACAGATAACGAGACGTTTGCAATGAATTGGTTGAGACAAACCTACGAACCAAATATTAACCTAAACGATAGCCATTCGCTGAAAGCGGCCGATCTGTACGCCGATTACGTCAAGCATTGTTGTCGTAATTCGCGGCGCAATGTAATGGCAGCGCAACCCTTCGCCCAACTCACCAAACGATGTTTCCCTTCAACCACTTTGACTAACAGCGGCACCACTATTGAGGGCATTGTGGCCAAAGCTGTGCAAAATAGCTCTAATCCTGTGCCCACTTCTCAACTAATGTCACCCATTCTTAAGGCCCATTTGAGCGCTCCTCCAAAGAACAACTCAACGAGTCCTGTGAACACTAACTCTAATTGTAATAATAATCTAATCAGTAATAACTCGAGTAATACAACCACATCGACGACCACCACATTGAACGCCAGTTCGCTTCCAATTCCCACCACTAATACTTCAACACTCATTAAAAGTCTTTTAGCAAATAAACTGAGAAGTAATGCCACCGTTTCGGCCGCCACTACTTCTTTCACACCTATTACTCCGACTAAGTCAGCAACCAATACATCCTTCGCAACACTTCCTCTAATGAGACTTCACTCCCCGATCCCCACAACAGCACCGCTTCCAACCACAACCACAACTCTATCCAATTTGACCACAATTAACAACGAGATGAACGGCGAAACGGTTGTCACTAATTCGCCGCAACTTTCCTCAAACACTTGCACGTTCACCACGTTTACCACTTCCATCCCTACCTATAGTTTGTCTCAATCCAACACAATATTTAGTGCTTCAAACGCCACTCTAACCGCGTCCTCCGGTCAGCCACAACAACAGCAATTCCTATTGGTTCGCACTATCATCGCATCGCCGGGTCAACAGTCGGGCACTACTGGTTTGGCCACCACTGGAACACCCGTTCGGCTCATATTACCGGCGAGTATGTTAACGCAACAACGACTTAACACTCCGGGAATCAATGGTATCACAACATCTTCTAATGTCACAATCAGTGCCGCCAATAGTCTGTACGTGAATTCGTCGACATCGTCCGCCATCTCCACCAACGCTTCGGATCTATTCTTAAAGACAGTTCTGTCCAATTCAAACAGTGCTAACTCAGTGCCGGTGTCACCCATCAGAAGCAATGTTAAGTCGTCGCCACTTCTCAACGTACTGTTAGATAAGGGAAAACTTCCGGAGTTCTCCACATCGGCTGTGGTTAACAATCAGATGAACTCATTTGGTTCGGCGAACAGCGCGACACTCGTGTCGTCACAAACGCCTAAAATGTATATTTTGACGACAAAGTCTCCGCTCGCGATGAAGAGTTTGCCCGCAATTCAAACACAACTCAATCAAACGACACAACAGCTGACGCCCACCGTTACTCTCTGTTCCCAACTCTCCTCACAGAACAACACGACACTCAAGTCATGTCTTCAGACCTCTCCCATCGTAACGTTCACACAATCGCCAACCAATACAACCACAACAACCAATCATTCCGTTGTAAACAAACAATCGATACCTAAGAGTTGCGTCACTCCTATGATCAATGGCGAGTTGGGATCAGCCATTCATACAGTCAATAACGTAGTAAACAGTGTTAAAAGTATTCATACCATCAGTAACTCTATTAATACGGAATTACACGTGAAGACGAGTCCAACGAATTGTGTGAATGCATTGAACTGTTTGCCAGCGACTGATTTGTCTCCCATTAAGGACATGAAGAGAGCGGTCGACGACGCGACTAAACTCATAGCTAAGCGACGCAATGAAGAGGAGAACGACACTATTGTGTCCAACAAGAAACTGAAGATCAATTCTGTGTTAACCATTCCGTCTCCACTGTTGTCAACAAATAGTATACCAAATCATGATTCGGTTATTTCGGATTCAATTCTTAATCCAATCAATAATTGTGTTACAAATAATAGTTCACAACAAGTATTAACCAAAGCCTCAAATCTGTTGTCTATAAGCTCTACAACGCCCTCATCTGCCGTCACAACCATTACTACAATCACTTCGAGTAACATTAAAAACATTTCTACTATTAATAACAGTAATAGTAATAAAGACAACAATTGTGTCAATAATAGTAATAATAATATAACTATTTGTGAATTTGAGTGTCAGTGGAATGACTGCAAAAAGTAAGTGAAACTCAAATATATTGTAATGTAATGTAAATGACTTGAAATGATATTAAATGTAATGAATTTGCAGAACATTTAGTCGTCCGTCAGAAGTGTTCTTTCACGTCCACAATCACCACATAATGACCACAACATTCCCTAATGTTATGACATGTCTATGGGGTGGACCCGAAGGCACTGGACCCGGATGTCTGTCTAAGAGACCAAAACTATCTCTATTGACACATCTTTTGGTATGTCTACTCATTATAGACTTTAATCTGAATAAAAGTATTTAACAATGTGTTTGTCTCATCGCTTTAGGACTTTCACTGCAATCCCAATGTTTTACAACAAGATGCTGTCCGAAAGAAGCAGTTGTCATCAGTGGGTACGACAGCTATAGTGTTACCGCAACCGCCGGCACATCCCGGTTACGCACATAACGCCGCACTTCTTGCCATCAGAAGGCATGCGACCAATTATGTGGTGAGACTTTGCTTTCAATTCAATGATCATTTATATTATGCGTAAACAGACTCTAAAACTATGTTCTGATTAATAGGAAGCGCCGACTTTGCCCCCAATAACCACTTTGACTCCTTTGACGGTTAGTATTAGACTCACGTCTGCACTAATACTCCGCAATTTGGCCCTCACTTCAAATTTCGTCAAAAGGTATGCGAATCTGTGGATCAATGTATGGATAGTTAATAATGAGATAATTTGTTGTCTTACAGAACACTGGAATGTTTTGAACAATATTTATGTGAGTTATGTATGACTGATGGAAGAGATGAGTCGCGAACAATAGCCCAGTGTTTGGCTGTGATTACGGATAAAACATGAAATCAATTTTACAAATAATTGCACCAAAAAATTACATTTTTAAACTGAGTCTCAAGAGATATCAACATTTTATGAACCAATCGTTGCAAACAATAAGGAGAGTGTTTTACCTGAATCTCCGTCTCATGTCATCTCTATCGCCATTTCTATCATAAATTGTTATTTAATTTAATTAAAAGCAAAACTTTTTTGTCATTTTATAAATTAAAAATATAAATAATTGCTAAAAATAACATAATTTTTAATGAAAATTAAATTATTGACGAAATTATATGAAATGAAAAGTTTTAATTCAATTTAAGAATTAATAAATTATTGATTTATATTTGAAATTCAAATGTTTCACCAATTATTTGATTCTTTGAGACCACTCTTTCACACACTTGTCATCACTTCTCAAATGAATGTCAATCACTTTGTGGAGAAGAACCGACTTCTCGAAGAGAGATGCTATTGAATAAGTTGTGGTCAACACTAACGACTGTAAGAAGTAACTTGTAAGTCTTATCTCCCAATGCATTCAAAAGTTTTGAATACATATGTTATACATATCAATCATAACAAACAATTCACACATACTGTCACTAATTATTGTCATTATTTTGTCCCCCAATTACTGGAACCAATTATTAATTATTTTTCAATTATCAATTTTTTTGGTTCACTTCTTATTGAATAAAACTTTATATGATTTTAATGCAGACAAAGCATGAGTTTAACTAAATTATGCATTTATATAGACATCCGGTCTATATTTTATCGATAATACTATACATTATGATCGTATCACAAGTTTTTGCTTAACTTTTATAACTTCTAACGACATATCATTTGAGAATTATATTGGAGTGAATATTGTATTGTTTGTAGAATTTAATCAAAAATACTATGGTTTCTAACAATTGTAAGCCTAAACCAATTAATTGTATCTAATTGTATATCTCATAGCATATCACTCAATAAACCTCTAATACTTACAGTGTATTAAAGAGTTATGCAATCTGTAAAGAGTAGTCTTCTCTAATATTACTCCACAAAATTAGTTCACAATTTTACAATCTCTCTCTCTCTCTCTCTCTCTCTCTCTC